GGGGGAGGAACAGCAAACTGTTTAGAATGTTGGAGGCAAGACTCAAGCAATGCAGCCAGTGGATAGGGACAGATTCTGAGTGACACACCAGGGCGCCAACCAATTACGGAGCATGTGGAATGTTCTAGAGAAGTGCCACCACCATTCGGCTTTTATATATAATGGAGATATGTGAAAGCGCCCTTAGTACTGATGTGATACATGTCCAAATTTGCATCTCAGAATCATTGGCTGTCATAATGAGTTTGGCTGGCCTGATGCACTCATATCTGCAAAGTAGTTTTAATGAGAAATTACAGTCCCAAAGTTTCAAAGACCTGTACAAAGTCATTTCGAGTTCTCAAACAGACTACAGGTAATATGCTGCTCATTCATTTAAAATACACCACAACTATGAAATTACAACTAAATAGTTTAGAATATTAAAGTTTTGTTCTGAAATGTTGAGTGATAGTGCTGGACAAAATTTACACGTAATTGGAGGGAAAAGGCAACTCTTTGAGGGACAGTATTCCAAAATGCCACTCTACTACTTCCCTTGGCATCAGGTTCCATTTTCAGTCTTGGTCTGAAAAGTTCATGCAATATGCTGCTTGTGAATATATGCTTTATTCCAGCCTTCAAAAACAGGCTGCTGTTTAAAAAGTGGACTGGGTGGGGAAAATCATTATAAAAAATCTTTCTCATTACATTTTGCCAGTTCTAATAGCAATGTAGTCTTAAACCTTATAGTTTCTGGGCAGCAGTCTTTACCTTATGAACATCAAATTCTTTTCCTGGCAGAAAGACTTGTTCACTCTAACATGCCTACGAGCAGTTAGGCCACGAGAGATCATACTTACCACCTGGCAAGCATGTTCAGTGCTCAAAATGTTTCACATATACTGCCACGATAACCTTTACAAATGTTCTGAAAGGGAGGCCAGTATTACCCTCATAAGTTGAGGACTTACAGGGGTGCCTCATTTTCCTCTCCTCCACCAGCCCTCATAGCCTCTCCTATTTTCCTGCTTCCTTCTCTCCTTCCCACCCATCAGCCAACATACCTTTATCTCCCCCCCCCCCTTCAGCTTTCCCTGCTTCCATCCCCAATGGCCTCTCCCTGGAAAAGCTCTGGCCAAGTTGTGTGGTGCCAGTCCCTGGGCGGATTCCAACTGCACAGTGGGGAACCTGCAATGACTTGCGGGGGAACCTGCAATGACTTGCGGGGGGACCTCACTTTCCCCTATTTTCTCCTCCCCATTTTTTCTTTCCTTCCTCCTGGCAGCCCCCATAACCTCAACTTTCTCTGTTTCCTTTTCACCCACCCTGCCCCTCATCTGCCCCACAACTTCACCTATATTTATTATTATTTACTTCATTTATACCCCACCTTTCTCCACAATGGGAACCCAAAGACTCTTACATCATTCTCCTCTCCTCCATTTTATCCTCACAACAGCCCTGTTAGTTAAGTTAAGCTGAGGGTGTTTAACTGGTCCAAAGTCACCCAGTGAACTTCCACAGCAGAGTGGTGATTTGAACAGGGGTCTGCCAGTTCCCAGTCTGAAACTCTAACAAATACACCACAGTGGCTTTTCTGGGGTGGTTGCTGTTGAAAAGTAGGAAGCAGCTAGGTCTCAGTGAGTCATGTAAGTCATGTGGTATCAAGCTGCCTGGTGACTGCTGCCAAGCCCAGAGTAGCCCCCATATCCTGCCACCTCTCCAGGACACAGGTAAGTCTGTTGATGCTGTGTGGGGATTTAACCCTCCTTCTGAAAATCTGGGGGGGGGTGTCCCCCAAGCTTGCAGAATTATTTGATTTACATCAGTATTGCCCTGATCAGTGCATTTAAACATCTGTAGAGCAGGCCACATAACTATTAGAATATAAGGTATTACACACAGGAGATTGAACCGTATTGAGTGGCCAAGGTCACCTACTGAGATGAGAGAAGAACAAGTGACCTCCCAGACTGTAGCTTATTCTCTTAACCATTGCAGTACACCAGCTGCCACCATCCACTTCCAGTTAATATGAAGCAAATGCTTTAGATTCACACAGTCCTGATGCTTAGGCTTGTTAGCAGGAAAGGTCAAAATGAGGCCTTCTTTCCTCAGCTATGTTTTTATATCTAATGATCTTTTTTATTTTTTTCTCTATTCCTTTTGGTAACTAAATAGATAAGCAATCTTTATGATAAAGGCATTTGTTGTGAACAGAAGACATAGGTACATAGGGACTTTGATCATCTTCCAACTTTTTACTGATGATACATGACCATAGGAAAGCAAACACCTTAATTTCAGCTTACATTTCTTCTACCCCCCCCCCCCCCTTTAGATTTGTCAGTAATTTGGGCATCTCCCTTCCCTCCCACAAAAGGCTGTTCCATCAGGATGCTGTCCGGAATTAAATCCTCTAGCCGTCACAAGTAACAAAGAGACGTCCTTTGGCATTTCCAGAGAATGCGTTTCTATGAAGAACAGAACTCTTGCCAACATACCCCAAGAAACACACAGTCTGGCTACAAGTCCCTTGACAACAAAACACAGTCTTGTTATAGGTTACAAAGCCAGTGACATGAGGGTGAACTGCATCCAATTAAGAATTTCAAAAGTGCAGAAAAAAGGGACAAAAGTGTTCAGTTTTAACAGAGGCACACAAGTAACATGTTTGAGGAATGGACTTTACCACTGGGTAACTTCTGTAATCATCCTTAATTTACTTTGGTCATTTGATTCTGAATTATATTCCACCCTTATGGGTAATTTCTAAACACTTTATAGATTAAAGGAGGCTCACTGAGGGCAAAGAAGTGGATTCTTCAGTATTGAATGTCTCATTGCTCTTTGACTATTTATTAGTGGGCAGACCTGGAAATCAACTGCCTATCCTTGAAAACAGCACAGAAATAGCATGTTGGGAAGGATGTTCTTTACAATTAGTCTGCAAATATTTAAATATTATTCAGGTGCTATCTGATTGGGCGGGGGGGGAGGGGAATCCTTGGAAACAACAGAAGTGCCTTGTCATTGGGGGAATTGATCAACATGTTTTCCTGTATTGCCATCTCACTTTGAGGGTTAGATTTTTCACTTTGTTTAGTTGGAATTATCTGTAACAGTAATTTAAGTGATGACCAACAGCACCAACCTAAGCAGAGTTACACTTTAAGTCCATTGAAGTCAATGGGCTTAGAAGGATATAATGCTGCTTTGGATGGCACTGCAATTCATTTACAGCTAAGTCTAAAACAGGACAGTTGGCTGCCTAAGCTTTCGAGTACTAATAACAATGTTAACTGTGTGAAATAGAATTATATGGATCTATTACATTAGCTCTTGGCACCATCTTTCCAAAATAAGCAAATGCTACAAATGTCTATCAGAATGTGTTTTTGCAGACATTTCATAAATTCTGCAGCAAATATTTATGCAAAGATCAAAATTTTGTGTAAGTCGGGGAATAACACTGGTTGCAACTTGCAACTTTTACTAGATTTGTGTGAACTAGCTTCCAGCCTGAACAGCACTAGAGAAGGAATGCAGGAAGTTGACTATAGAATGATTCACCATTACAGGCACACCCAACTACTGCCTTGTGAAGTAAATAATTATTCATACCTTACAGCTATGGTTTGACTAAGATTTGATTAAAGCTATAATTTGATTTGATTATGGCTGCAATCAGCACCATCCCAAAGAAAAAGAAATGCAAGAAAGCAAAGTGGCTTTCGGGTGAGGTTTTACAAACAGCAGAGGAAAGAAGGAAAGTGAAAGGCAAAGGTGAAAAGGAAAGATTTACCCAACTGAATGCAGATTTCCAGAGAACAACAAGGAGAGATAAAGAGGCCTTCCTGAATGAACAAAGCATAGTAATAGAAGAAAACAATAGAATGGGAAGGACTAGAGATCTCTTCAAGAAAATTGGAGAAATCAAGGGAATGTTTTGTGCAAAACTGGCCATGATAAAGGACAAAAACGGTAGGGACCTAACAGAAGCAGAAGAGATTAGGAAGAGGTGGCAAGAATACACAGAAGAACTATACAAGAAGGATCTCAATGTCCTTGACAACCACGACGGTGTGACTGCTGACCTCGAGCCAGACATCCTGGAGTGCGAAGTCAAATGACAAACTGAGCTATTCAATGTCCTAAAAGATGATGCTGTTAAAAATGCTGCACTCCATATGCCAGCAAATTTGGAAAACGGAACAGTGGCCACAGGACTGCAGAAGGTCAGTTTACATTCCAATCCCAAAGAAGGACATTGCCAAGGACTGTGCAAGCTATCCTACAATTGCACCCATTTCACACACTAGCTAGGTCATGCTCAAGATCCTACAAGCTAGACTTCAGCAGTACGTGGATAGAGAAATGCCAGAAGTATAAGCTGGGTTTCGAAGATGTAGGAGATCTAGAGATCAAATTGCCAACATTCGCTGGATTATGGAGAAAGCAAGGGAGTACCAGAAAAACATCTATTTCTGCTTCATTGACAACGCTAAAGCCTTTGATTGTGTGGACCATAACAAACTGTGGCAAGTCCTTAAAGAGATGGGAGTACCAGACCATCTCACATGTCTCCTGAGAAACAAGAAGCAACAGTTATTTATTTATTTATTAAATTAGATTTACTAAGCCACCCTTCCCTAGAAACGGGCTCAGGGTGGCTTACAACAAAATAATATACAAATCTAGATTTAAAACGAAGTTAAAATACTCTAGCAATTGCCAGTAAATAAAAACACCTTACATACAGTATATCAGATGGCAGAAAAAATTCCAGCTCCCCAGTTAGAACCGGACATGGAACAACTGATTGGTTTAGAATAGGAAAAGGAGTAGGGCAAGGATGTATATTGTCACCCTGCTTATATAATTTATATGCAGAGTACATAATGTGAAATGCTGAATCACAAACTGGAATTGATTGCCGGAAAAAACATCAGCAACCTCAGATACGCAGACGATACCACTCTAATGGTAGAAAGTGAAGAGGACCTAAAGAGCCTCTTGCTCAGAATGAAAGAATAGAGTGCAAAAGTTGGCTTGAAACTCAACATCAAAAAAACTAAGATCATGGCATCTGGCCCCATCACTCCTTGGGAAATAGAAGGGGAAGTCATGGAAGCAAGTGAAAGAATTCACGTTCCTGAGATCCAAGTTCACTGCCGATGGTGACTGCAGCCATGAAATTAAAAGACGCCTGTTCTTTGGAGGAAAGCTATGGCAAACCTAGACAGCATAATAAAAAGTAGAGACATCACTCTGCCAACAAAAGTCCACATGGTCAAAGCAAATGGCATTCCCAGTAGTAATATATGGCTGCAAGAGCTGGACCACAAGAAAGGTTGAGCGCTGAAGAATAGACGCTTTTGAATTATGGTGCTGGAGAAGACTCTTGAGAGTCCCCTGGACTGCAAGGAGATCAAATCAGTCAATCCTAAAGGAAATCAAACCTGACTGTTCCCTGGAAGGACAGATGCTGAAGCTCAAATACTTTGGCCACCAACTGAGAAGGGAGCACTCACTGGAGAAGACCCTGATGCTGGGAAAGATTGAAGGTCAAAGAAGAAGGGGACGGAAAAGAATGAGAAGCTTAGACAGTGTTATTGAGGCAACAAACATGAAATGGAGCAAACTCTGGAGAACAGTGGAAGACAGGTAGGCCTGGCATATGGTCCATGGGGTCGGGTGGAGTCAGACTCGACTGTGCGATTGAACAACAACAACACAGAGACTACAAAGAATACCTGGGGCTAAACAGTAATGAGGAATGCATCACTAGCATATTCCAAGATCAGCAGTATAAGAAATATACTTTGCCACATTTTGATCTTTTTGTCAACACAATGCACATACCTCTTCCTCTATTAACAGAATATTTTGTATAACATTGCCTGACAACTTGCAAAGCTGTCTGTGATACAATACCATCTTTCAGTTCTGTCATCCAAACCAAAACTATCAGTCATATTTTTACCACTTGTCAATAGTTCCCTGCTTTCCTGTTCAATTCAATTAGACTGCTCTAATGTTGAATATTTCATATCGCAACTACATTAAAAATAATATAATGCCAAAGAGAAGCCATGTAATCAGAGATGGTTTATATAAAATTTGGGAGATTATATGAAGAAGAATGAGTCCTCCAATATTTCCTTTAATGTCACCTATAGGTGCATATCATTTTATTTGTTAATTTATTTAATTAGATTTTAAGGCCGCCCTTCCTTGCAAGCAAGGCTCAGGGCCGCTTACAACAAAAAAGGACATACAACGAGTAATTAAAATTTAACACATGGAAACACATGGAAACATGATAAACCCACAAGGAGAAATGAAGTCTTGGCAAACTATAAAAGAGGAAAGGAAAAAAGTATGACTTATTATATTTTCAATTAATCTCAAGACTTTAAAAAGACTTCTACACAGAAAGAGGTGCAATAAGGGAATTGACTGAATATGAAAAGGTGATTACGCAACAAAAAGATCAAATATTAGGAAGAATCTATAAGCTATTACTTCAATACGATAACAGAGACAGAACAAGTAAAGAGATGTATGATAAGATGGATGCAAAACTTTGAGGAAGAGATAACTTTTCAGCACTGGAAAACTCTATGGACAAAAGATGTAGAATTCACAGCTAGCCAAGCACTAAGAGAAAACTGGTACAAGATGTTTTAGCCTCCTTTCCCTAGATTGGCTGAGGGCTCCTCCCCCTCCTCCTTTGGGGAGGAAGAGAGAGATAGGG